GGGCCGAAGGCCAACAACTGCACGGTGCCTAAGAAGTGCTGCATCTGGCTGAGTCTTGCATCAGCTGTTCACTTACTACTCCAATCCCAGGATGAATTCTGATGCTTCCATCAAATGCTGCAAATTTGACTTGTTGCTAGTTCAAACCGTTCAAATGTAGCGTTTGCTGCAGGGATAAAACCCAAATTCTTAATATCAAAGCTGGGGCTGCCGTGCCCCTCCCCACACCGAGACTTGCAGGTTACAAACAGAATGGCAAACTCTTCAGTAACATTTCAGCGTGGCTGTCACAGCACTTGGCAAAGGTGGCTGCGTATCACCCCCATTTAACAGCCTAGGAGACTGAAATGAAGATGCTTTAGCCCAGGTGTGGTTCCCATTGATTTGATTTGGAGTTGTTGGGTGTTCGTCACTTTTGAAAACCAAATCTGGGATTATGGGCACCCAAAACCATTCTGAGAAGTGGGCACTCTGTGATTTGCCAATGAGGTTACCCAGGAAGTAAGAGGAACAGCTGGGAACAGAACCCGTCTGGGGGCCTGGCCGCTTGTGTAACAGGGTAGCTCGGCTGTCAAATGAACGTAGGCTCAGCTCTCCTGTTCCACTCCACATGTGCCCTTTCTTGATGTAACTAGAGGGCTAACTATGGGTGTTATAAATGAGCGATCTGGGGCCTGAGAGAGAGAGCTCAGTGGGAGAAGGGGGGAAAGTGCAGGGAACTCAGAGGCAGAGCGGGTCGGAGAGCTGCTGGGAGGGATGCCCCTGGAGGACGGAGTGGTCAGATGTCCCTGCTTGAGCAGTGGTGCCAGATCAGCTTTGTGAGAAACAGGAAGGCGGTCAGAAGGTCAGCTACAAATGTCCCCAGGCCAGAGAGCGCTGAACGCTGAGAGCAGCCCAGGGAGATGCCTGCTGGCTCTCTGAGCCAGAGAGAAAACAGCTGGGTCTGATGGAGGCATGAACACTTACTGATGTGTCTAGTTCCAAATTTTGCCCATAGCTGGAAAGGAAACAGGGCAGAGAAACAGCCCAGCTGGGGTGGGGTGAGAACCACCCGAGCTGTACCTGGGGGGAGATGCTGGAGTTGGACCATTGGAATGAATGTACTGTTTGCGCTGAGCTGGGGGGATGCTGGCTCACGGTAGTGGCACTGCTGGTTGTGCTCATCTCCTTTGAGGAATCAAGGGGAAAATGAAGCAAAGGGCCACTTGCAGGGCTGTCCTGAGGCCATGAGGGGGTGCCTGGGTGGAAGCCAGGCCTTTCTAGCCTGCCTGTGCCGCTCCCTGGCTGACCACAAAGGCTGTCCTGTTCGGAAAGCCCAGATGTGAGCCGGTCCTTTGCAAATCCAGCCCTGAACTTTGTGGCTTAGGTCTCTCCCTGACTGCAAACCCACAACACAAAGCTGTAGGCCTGCCCCATCCAGACCATGGGCTGGCCTTTGTTGTCAGCAACCCTTAAAGAGTCTTTTCACCCTAGGCCAAAATCTGACCCTCTCCCCACCTCTGGTGTGCAAGGTTTCTGAGGCTTTCATCCTTCTGAACTGCCTCCTATTTGAGCCAAGAAAAAGTGGCTGTTCTGATCTGCTGGGATCCTGGTACCAAGATATTCAAAAGATAATTGTATTTCCCCATTCCTTTTGTAAACCGTTGCCAGAAACGATGTTGACGTCAGAAAACATTGCTTCTAACTTTTTTTCTTCCTTTCCCCAGCATGTAGCTGAGATTGTCCTTTTCCCTTCTACGTATTGAAGAGCAGTACTGCTGTAACTAAAACAATTCTCTTTGCTTTCCCTAGAAAGTACATCATTTCTTGTGAACAGACAAAAGTGCCATTGTCTGTGCCCTGGGATCAAAGTAACAAGGTAAAATAACTGTTTCTGTATTGGCCATATCTTCCCTTTGCACCTTGGAAACGGCAAAGTCCCATATGTTGTAGGAAGACCCAGCAGCTGGTTTTAAGTAGCAGCCAGAAGTTTATACATGAATAAATATGGTCTATGGAAACAAGAAGGATGACCTCTTACCTAAAACAGCATGCATTTTACATTATTTTAACTGGAACAGTAAATGCCTTCTTCACCCCTGATTTACTCCCATTAGTTCAATATCAGACTAGCTGCAAGCTTTTCTATTGTATCCCTTAAGTTTAGGGAAACCTAACCAAAGGTCAAAATGATTTCTACTGTATTTTCATTTGCTGTTTTTGGCTTAGGTGTATCTGAGCTACAACAACGTTTCTGCACTGAAGACTTTGGTAGCGAAAACAAATTGGGTGCTTGCCACAGAAATAGAAAAGGTACTTAACCCTGCCCCACTCCCAAGTAAACACTGCCTCCTTAGCCTTCCGGACTGCCTTTAGTTAGTGGAGACAACTCCTGTTAATATCAGAAGACATGTTTGTCATTCTCCACCCCCACTTATTTGAATCTTATTGTATCCAAATGGGATTGTACAACATGTACTCCATGAATGTGACTATACTATAAACATTCCATGTATGTTCTAAAGGACACTGTGAAGATGCACTTACATACATGTAAAACATATCGACTCCAGTGATGCCCTACTAGGACCTGTGCTCTAGTAAACTCCCACTGAAGTCATCAACCAGAGCTTCCACCAATTTCCACTCAATGCCTGTAAACTTCTCCTGGAGAACTGTTCTGTGCTGTGCTCCTGGAGCTTAAGGGAACCAGCTCATAAAACAGAGACCTCATGTACCATCAGGAGTATGTGATTCTTTATACTAATGCCACGTGGGTGGGTGAGAGAGACTGAGATCAAAGCTGTTTGGTTATATTACAGCAAGGTAAAAATATGAATGAATCTCACTGGGAAAACCCCAAGTGTCACTTTTACTAAGACTGCAGGCTGTGCTTCTGACCTGATGTGACTGTCTCTCAAAGGTGAGGATGTACACGCTGGAGGAAGACAAGTACCTCTCCTTCCGAATAGAGATGACCCTCTGCATTGATGCAAAGCAGGCCTTCTTCCTTCTGTCAGACTTAAGACAGAGGCATGAATGGGATAGTCATTATGCGTGAGTACTTGAATTCTATTGGAGGACAGCTAAAACGTTAGGGTTGCTGGTCCTTGTTTTATTGGGGATGGGGGAGGAAGCCACTGGAATATACCCCCAATTTCTTTTTTTACTTTCCTGCCTCAAAGCAGCTTCCCATTCATTTAAACTGTGCAAAGTGCTTTCTCCCTCCATCATCCACCCCGCTCCAAATCCAGGAGCATCCAGCGTATGGAGTCTGGGGTTGTATATGTGCCGACATCAGAGTTGAGTGCCATGCTGCTCACGTGTGGTATTGTGGAATAGAATCCAGGGCCTTTATCTCCTGAAACACAAGTTTCTGCCACTCGATGGAAAGAAAACTCTCTTCTTCAGCTGTTGGCGATAGCAGTGAGGCTTCTGTCTTCTGTAGATCAGCAACGGGTACAAGCCAGTCAAGTGTTCTTCCTGCATGCTCTTGACACGGCTAGTCTTGTTAGCCTGGGACTGCAGTTGAGAATCGTAGTAGGCAGAGGTGGGTGACCACCACAATGGGCTGGCCCATACCTATAACATTCTCTGTTGCTGTCCCATAGGAAGGGGTCTAACGTCCTATAAAGTAGGCCCCCTTATAAAACTGTGCTCCTCTTCCTGACGCCACGAAGTGCTTGTACTTAGAATATACACTATGACTGGCATATGCCCATTGCTCTCCCATGACCTGGGATGGCCATTAGAATGTTTTCCTGAGAGGGGGAATCTTATGCCAGGATCCTCTGCCCATGTAAGGGGCCTTCATTTTACAGCTGCTGCCATGCGGACTGACACCAGTCAGAAGTTGAAGAAACTCTGGTTTAGAATCTCCATTGCAGGACCGTGTGTCTGAAATCTAAAGGAAACCACAAAGGGACCAACCACTCGGGGAAACTCATTATCCAGTCCCTCTAGACTGGGGATTGTAGAATGTAATTGGCTACGCTCACCCCAGCAGATCTGACGTTCGGGGAAGCCGTGTTCTCTCTAGGGCAAAGGCAGGGTTAATCAGCCCCCAGAAATGAAGTACTGGCTATTCAGAAGAAAAGCATTACTGAGAAAATATTTTTTTTAAAATGATAAACCGCTAACGTGCAGGTCTTGGCTTCATAGGCCCATCTTCAACAGTGAGATCTTGGCAGGCTTCAGGTCCTCGGCAGAGTCTGTGTGTCTGGGTCACCGTGTCATGTCCTGCAGTTCTTGGAAAAAGCATGTGTGTGGCTCCCTCTCCCTGCTACACCGTGGTCACTTTACACAGCGTTCAGTTCTTTGTTTGCCAGGCCTCGTGAACCACATCAAACCAGTCTGTGCCACTTCCCCCAGGGATGCAGTTTCTCCAGACTTAATAGCTGCCTAGGGCTTTGCATTAATTATTTCCCTGGTGGTTTGGGTTCCTGCAGGAAACCCTGTAACTCCCCCACGGAGATGGAATGCGATCCCAAGCCCATTCAGATACACTTTTATAAATCGGATACTATCGTTGTTGGATGTTCCGTGTGTCCAGAGCATCTGCCACAGAGGCCATCTCTTACCAGGACCCCTCATCCTCTCAGTACTATGGCCTCGGGTGGGTGGCCTGGCCTGGCCTGTCATTCATTTGCCCTGAATCCTGGACTTCCCGGTTGTCAGGAGCAGCCAGTGAAGTGAAGGAACTTCATGGGATGGTTGGCTCTGGGAGAGGGCTGCAATGAGCTTTCTTGCCCTGCGGGGACTGAGTCACAAGGAGGTGCAGTGACTTTCCCAGCTCGCACAGTGAGTCAGTGATTGTTGTGGTTTTAATCCCAGCCACAGCCTCCTGTCCAAAATACCCCAGGGACAGGCGCCGACACAACCTCAATTTCAGGCCAATCCCAGCCTTCGAAGATAACCAAAACCAGAGCGAGAAGGCACAGGAGGTGCCACGTTGCGAACTGTAAAAAGAATTTGCAACCTCCTTGACCGTGCTACTGAAACATTTGGGGTCAGAAGCTGAAGAATTCGGGGCCTGATGGGCACCAGTGGAGTTTGACTCAGACTCTTGCCTAGGGAAAGCCAAGTATGAACTCCCATAAACGGTAACAGATCAGGAGCTCAGGATGAGCCCAAAGGAGAATTGTTTGGAACAATTAATTCTGCTTAGTAAATGCTGTACCACGGGGGAGTCAAACAGAGCCAGAACTGCAAAGAGGCAGGTAGCTACTCAGTGAGATTTTCAAGACCTGCATTTCTGGGTGCATGGGTGTGTTTAGAAATCTGGCCCATAACCCATGGGAGAGCTGACTTATAGAATCATAGGACTAGAAGGGACCTCGAGAGGTCATCGAGTCCAGCCCCCCGCCCTCAAGGCAGGACCAAGCTCCATCTACACCATCCCTGACAGATGTCTATCTAACCTGTTCTTAAATATCCCCAGAGAGGGAGATTCCACCACCTCCCTTGGCAATTTATTCCAATATTTGACCACCCTGACAGTTAGGAATTTTTTCCTAATGTCCAATCTAAACCTCCCCTGCTGCACTTTAAGTCCATTACTCCTTGTCCTGTCCTCAGAAACCAAGAGGAACAAATTTTCTCCTTCCTCCTTGTGACACCCTTTTAGATATTTGAAAACCGTTATCATGTCCCCCCTTATCTGGGAAGGTGGTTCTACTTAAGTGAAGGAAGCGTCTTTTCCCCTAATCCCCAACTGATTATAAATAAATCTAACTTGTTTCTATTTGGATCTTGTGTCTTTGGCTTTGAACTGCTTCTGTGGAGTCCCTGGATTACTGCTGAGTAACGCTCTATGGTTAGCACATTACCAAATTCACGATCCGTTTCACAGCTAGGGGGTTTAAAAGTATCACAGTGTTGTAACCAAGGGGATCCTGACCCAAAAGGCGTTCTGGGTGGGAGGGTCACAAGGCTATTGTAATGGGTTGTGGGATTTTCACTTTCTTCTACCATACTGCTGGCAGGGGGCTGTCTTCAGAGCTGGGCAGCTAAAGAGGAAGGCTGCTGGCTGGGACCCAGCTCTAAAGCCAACAGCAGTTTCAGCAGCAGCACAGAAGTGAGGGTCACTGGGTATGAGGGTGGGTTACTGGAGGTTTGCTTTTCCTGGAAGTCTCCCACCTGCATGGGGGGCTGGCAGCTGGAGCTGCAGCTGCTCGTATGGAGAGATGACAACTGGAGCTACTTGCTTCCTGCATGGGGATGGGGGTGATGACAGGTGGAGCTGTGGAGTTTCCTGCAAACAGGGGGGGTTCCCAGATTTGGGTCTGACCTTCCCCGAGAGCAGCCTTGGCAGGGGAAGAGAACATCTGGTCCTTCCCCATCCCTGGTTGGGACTAGCAGCTGGAGCTGGGCACAGGGTAGGAGCCCCTGGCTGGATGCCAGATTTCAGGGGTGCTGCATTTTTCCGGACTATGAATTTGGTAGGGCCCTGCATCTGCTGAAACGTTATTGGGGGAGAGGACACCCGAGGGACGTTGTCTGGTCTCATGGTGCTGTGAAGATGACCTGATCTGTCAGCAGTCACCCTGAGCCCTTCTAAAATGTCCTTCTGCCTCTTCCCAGGAGCGCTAAGCTTGTCCAGCAAGTGGACGCGGACGACATGATCTACCACGTGCTCAGCCAGACGGTGAGCCAAGAAAAGAAGCCCCAGGACTTTGTCATCCTGGCATCCCGGCGGAAGCCTTGTGATGAAGGGTAGGTAAAGGAGCAAGGCTCCAAGGGCATGGTGGGCCCAGTGGGCTTCCCCTGGCCAGTGGATGGGGACAGCAGCGCTGGGTCTAGCCCATGGGACTGGAAATGTCTCGTGTGTAGGCTCTGAAACATCCCTACACCAGGCCTCCCTTCTAGCCACCAGACTTACTCTGTGACCTGAGCCCCGCCACCCAGTGTTAAAGCTTTGACCTTGGGTACTGGGGCTTCAGCCCTGAGTCCCAGCAGCTCTGGCACCCCCAGGATTCCCAGGGCAACCCCAAGTCTAACGTCAGCCCTGGCAACCCCAGAGTCCCAACCCGCAGTCTGAGCTAGTATATGATTTAGCTTTTAATGCTACAAAGGCCGTGCTCAGTATTAGCTTAGGATTTACGCTTCCTGGCTCTCTTTAAAATCCCCACAAGCAGTGCTTTCTCTCCTGTTTAAACGTGCCTGGGATTCCCTCTTGTCCAGGCTGCCTCAGTGCCTGTGGGAGACAAGTGCAGTGTGTTGAGCCCTATACTGAAGTCCAATGATCTGCAGCCCTTGAGAGAAAGTTGGTTTGACGTGCAGAAAAAAGGGTAATTTTCGTGGCAAGTGATTACAATGGGGGAGCCAATGAGTGAAAAATATTTTATTATGAAACCAGTCAAGTCCTAGCCTGTGGATCCAAATCATTGCACAAAGGCGCAACATGGCTACACAACTTCATCTTCACTGCACGCTACTTTTTTGGTTTGAAGAGGGATCTAAAGTAACTTGGGTGTTTCAATATGTAGTTCTTTGTAGTGCCTGTCCTATCTAGACTGACACAAAGTGCTCTAGATCAGTGATTTTTAAACTTTTTGAGACCACGGAACACCAAACAATAATATTTTTTATGCGGAACACCTGTAAAAATTTTCTTTAAAAAAAAAAAAATGGTTGTCAGACCAAAGAAAACAAAGAAGAGGTCGCAGCACACCTGTGAGTTGTTCACAGAACACCGGTGTTCCGTGGAACATAGTTTAAGAAACACTGATCTAGATCACCTGGTAAGCTGGGCATAAGTAGGTACGAATTTTCGCATGGCTAAATGTTTGCACAGCCTGTTGCTGACAGAAAGGGGGGGTGCTCTCCTGGGAAGCAATGACTCTGAAAAAGATGGGGGGTGTGGTGGTCATCCGCTGAATGCGAGTCCCCAGTGCGATGACGTGGCCACAAAGGCTGGCGTGCTCCTTGGATGTATTAAAAAAGAGACTATCCAGTCAGAGTGGGGCAGGTTTTGTTACCTCTGTATTAGGAGATGATTACATGCCACATGCTGTTCCAGGCCATTGTCACCCCAGCCTTATTTTGAGACATTCTTAAGCTGGACATTTTAGTGGAGTCTCCAGGAGGTTGAATTTCAGTAGGAACTTGGTGCCTGACTCCCTTGCGCTCTGCTGAAAATCGGAGTCCGCAGTCCCTTGGCACCAAGTGGATGGGGCTCTCTCACTATGTATTTGCCTTAATGTGTGTGTGTAAGGGCTACCTTACCCGATGTGATAAAACCACAGGGGACATGGGAGCCAGAGTGCTGAGATTTTATAGATAAAGACCAGACAGAGCCAGCTCCCTTTCCCGGTTCTTTCCTCCATTGTTTGCAGTTGATCTGATTAAAAACAATCGCTCCAAGATATCGCAGATGTAACTGTAAGTTCCTTGCGTTGGAGTCCCTACAAGAAGAGGTGTGGAAGCAGAAGGTGAACTGCAACAGTCGAGTGCCGTTTCCATGTAGGACTATCTCGGCAGAGGTTTTTTCTACTCTGCCACTGAATGTGTTGGGCCACCAGTTGAGGTCGTTCTGCCAGCTGCATTTCCTGGCACTGAGCAGAGTTAACTGGAGAGCTGGCATAAAGTCCTGCTCCTTTCTCTCCTTTTCAACGCGCTTGTGAACTGCTCCTGAGCAGGCTTCCTTCTCTTCCAGAGATCCGTATGTCGTCGCGTTCCGGTCGGTGTCGCTGCCCACGCATCCACCCAACCCCCAGTACACCCGAGGGGAGACCATGTGTTCTGGCTTTTGTATTTGGCAGGAGACTGCCGAGATAACCAAGGTGAGGCTTTCAGCTCCCTGAAACAGACCTGCGTCCCCCAGCCAGTTACCGGGGTCTTTACCTGTGTTCCAGAACCACGCACTCATGCATGCTGACCTGCGGTTGTACTAGTGCTCATAGGCACCGACTTCTTCTGTAGCTGGGGGAGCTCAACCTCTCCCTCTGTGCTAGGCTCCGCCCCCAAACTCCTGCTTTGACCCGCCTCTTCCTCACCACCTTCTCTCCACTCCTTATCCTCCCTCCTGGAGCATTCCAAATGCTGCAAAACAGCTGTTTGTGCAGGGAGGCTGTTGGAGTTGGTCAGTGGGGCCCCCAGCAGGCTACAGGTGTTCGGGGGGAGGGTGTGTGCATGGGGGGAGCTTGCCTGCTGGTGGGTACGGACGACCTGCTAACTTTTCCCTGGGATGCTCCAGCCCAGGAACCCCCAGGGAATCGGCACTTATGCTAGTGCTTCTGTTCAGTTCCCCTGTGCCCCGTTCAAAGGGGGCAAGAGGAGGGCCTACATGTCTGATGCTACACATCCCTGTCTTTGTTGGGCTTGGGTTTCAGGGATTCAAACCTGTCCCCTCTCTCACCACCCAAGTACCCTCCTACTCCTCCTATAACACGTGTGTGTATACATTTCCCACCTGAGCGATGTGGACAAACAGCACCACTCCCATTTACAGGTGGGGAAACTGAGGCACGGCAGGTGCCATGACGTGCCCAAGGCGGGCAGAGGGAGCATTGAGATGAAAATGGAAACTCCCATTTTTCTGACCACCTTCCCCCGCTCTGATCCCTGAAACCAAATCTGATGCAATAACCCTCCTTTACCGAAGGGCTGCATGTCCCAAGCTCCCCCTTTCCAAGTGGAGGCAGCAGAGTGGTCCGAGAGTAAATTCAAGTCCCTCTGACAAAAGGAGATGTTGATCTTACTGACAATCTCAAGAAATAGAGGCCTAATCTTTGAACTCATTTAAACTGTCGTCGTCTGACTGAAAGGTCTTAGAAATTCTAAATACTTTTTCACAATGTCCCCTTTCCCAGCAATAAGAATATTCGGGGCCACTGTATTTGTGTGTCCCACCAAAACTTTTCCAAGCCCCTTGCAGGCTGGCTTTGCTGTCAGCACTTAGCTTGGAATTCACCTGGGCCTCCACGCTGAGGAAATGTGTTGGGAATTGAGGGGAGCAGGATGTTCATTGCCCCCAGAAATTCGGCACCCCTCCCTGTGTGGGTTCCCCGCTACTGGATCAGAGAAACTGGAAATTCTCTGGCTTGTCCATCCCAAAACCTCTGAGCTATTCAGAGCCACTGGGGAGACCCCTGATGTGCCATAGGACTAGGAAGCCAGTACCTAGGGTTGCTGTTGCATGTGTTAGAAAATGATGTATGTAGGTTTCGACCTGTGGATGGTCCCCGTAGCTTTCTTAATGAATGTGTTGTGGCTTGCAGGTATCCTATTACAACCAGGCTGCTCCAGGATACCTCGCTTACGTCACGACTAACATTGCAGGACTGTCCTCGGACTTCTATGTTACCTTCAAAGCCTGTGAGAGATTCCTGCAGAAGAACAAAGACGATGTCACAGTTGGGCTCCAGAATTTGTAATCATTGTCCCTTTTTGCCCGGTGGTGTGTGACTGCCTTGTACGTATGGAAGTGATATTGGGGGGTGTGTGTAGGTGAGAGTGCATGGAGAGTCATTACTTAGATAATGTGAGTGGAGTTGCTGAAAGAGCCCAGTGTCTTGAAATCCATCTTTGTAACGTGACTAATGTCCCCTCTTCTCTCCTGTGATGTATTCTGATGATCAGAAATGTACTGGCTTGGAGCCCATCTAGCGAATCCAGAAGGGTTAGGAGGGCCCAAATCTGTGGCAGCTGTAGGATTTCTAGGGTAGTTTATCTGAGTGCAAAATGTGGCCTGGGGTGGGAAGGTAGGTCCGAGTGGTCCCTACCTGGCCAGTGTTTCATTGTCAAGTTGGCTCACGCTGAGGCCTAGTGCTGGAGCGGGGAGGGGGGGGGGGGGGGGGGGAAGGGCGATGGGGGGGGGGGGGGGGGGGTGGGGGGGTGAGAGGAGAAGGCTGGTCTTGTCTCCTGTAACACGGTACTGTTCTGTTTGACACACTAGGCATTAGAATGCAGGACACCTCATTGATGTGCTGCAATTTCATGTTCTGTCTTTCACACATCAAAAAATGAATGGGAGTGGTAATAAAGAAGCCTGTTCACTTTATGACCTCAGCAGGTTATCTTGCCTGGTTTCCTTGAATTATTTTCCTTGATCAGCCTAAGAATGAAAGATAAGAAACTGTTTTCTGTGGGAAAAATGGATTCCTCTTTTTGAAGAATTTTTAAACCTGCACGACAGCTGTCGGAAGAATTCCCCCCATGTTTTGGTATCTAAAGTACCAGGGCACAGAATACCAGTCTTCCTGCTTCCTGGGCCTTTTTTCCGATGTCTAATTGTGGAACTTGAATATTTTAATAAGATATTCGTCTTCCCAGCCAGACTTCTCGTGAATTGGGGGCTGAATTCTAGATCTCTTCAAACAGGCTCAAGATGTCTTGCTGCTGATCAGGGCCACACGGTGTATGGAGAAGTGACAATTAAAGCTCATCCGAAAATACCCTGTAGGCTCTCTTCATGCGTATGCTTTTCTGAAAGGTCCTGGCAGAGCCTAGCTGGGAAGAAGAATGCTCCCTCCACCATGTTATTGCTTTCTAGTTGAGTTTGGTCACTAACTATACAGTGCCTGAGAATCTGGTATGGAAGAAAGCTGGATGCTGAGTAACTAGAACACACGCTTAACTCGCAAGGGTAACCTGTAGCAAAGAAAATGTCCTTCCAAGGAGAAACTGAGCTATATGGAGAGTTGCACCTTAGCAACAATTCACAGCTGATAAAATCCCACAATCAAACTGTGCCCAGCAAAATGGACCCCCAACCCAAGCAAATGAAATAACATTTATTGAAAACACCATTGTTTGTATGACAGTAGCTTCTACAGGCTGTTCCTATATACAATAAGACTGTCCTTGCCCTCCCAGCAAGCTCTCACAGTGCTTAAATGGACAAAGTCAGCAGAAAGGAAATAGTATCTCTGGTTTATACATGGGGGAAACTGAGGCACAGACTAAGGCTGGATTTTTTTTTTCTAGAAGAGCTCAGTATGCAGGGTACTGTGATCTCAAATCCAGTTAGAAGCTTCACAATGAGTGCTGCACCGTTGAGAGCTTCTTTTGGCCATCTGGCCCTATGGTGGGATTTACACAAGGTGTGAGTATGTAGCAGAGTCAGGATTTAAACCTACATCTCCTGAATTCTAGGCTGCTGCCTTAACCACAAGACAGTCCCCCCCTCCACGCACCCTCCCCATATGTGAACCACTAAGCACGCTAGCTAAATGACACTCCAAGAATAGCTCGAAAGCCCAGTCCCCCGCCTGCAGCAGCCAGTGACAAGCCTGCCACAACTGTGATTGCCGGAGGAAGGCTTGCCAAGGCGGATCGCTCAGAAGAGAAGTTTATCCAACAGTGTGTCCTGGGAAAGCTGGGGTCACTAACCAGACTCTTGGGGAAGTTCTAAGAAGTTCAGACATCCACCACCAAAGCATTTCTGCATTGTCTTGATATCTTGTAATAGACCCTTTTCTGTGTATGTGTTCGGAGAGACCGGAGTCCTGGGAAGCCATCACAGTAGCTACTCTCTAAGTAACCATGGTACACGGTGATGGTGTAGTTGGGGGAAACCTCTAGCAGCTTTGTAGTGGCCAGCCATGATCTACTCAAGGGCGCAGCCTCCAGCTGAAATGACACTTGTTGCCAGAGATCCTTACAGAGTGTGAGCATGTCTTCTACCAATGGGTCAGTGTAACCAGCCCTTAGCACTTCCCTGGGCCAGGCGGGGGCGATGGTAACGTATGGGAAAATGGTGTTGATGGCTGTTAGGAATTCTTCACCTTGTATGTATCCTGGTGTCTTGAAGCTTCCAAAGGAGACAGCCATGCTGATCCAGACGGGGTTCCATAGGAGATTCTGGGTGTAGAGCGTACTAAGGAGCTCCAGCGTAGGGGGAAGTGCCCTGGGTTCTGTTATGTTCAGGTACACCCCGCAAGGATTGAGATGTCTGAATACTGTATCCAGGCACTGCTGCAGGGGGAGCCCTGCTGATGGATAGAGTGCAACCGGAATGAGATTTCCCCTGGTGCTGTTCTGCAATGCAATGTCCAGAGCTATCATGCCGCTCTCGTCTGGAAAACGAAGCAAAGGGAGAGGCTATGTAACAGCCTGAACCTCAGTGACCTGATAACCTAGCGATAGGTTGCTTATGTGTGATGAGCTCCATTCCTCCCTTCCAATCTTAGGGCTTGAGTGTCTCTATCATATTTGTTTGGGTAGAAACAATTCAACAGCTAATTTTTGTTGGGATACATGATATTTATCATTTAACTGTATATTAATTAGATGCACTGATCATGTGTATCATTGATTCAAAGTAAATTCTTAACTGCAGGTAAGAATGCTGACACTCATCTGTGCATTATTCACCAGTTCCCAACATAGCTCTCCAGCTAGTTACTGGGGGTGGTATAGGGGGAGTGGATTACAAGTGATTCATAGTGGGTAGCACACAGAGCATTGTGAGATCCATAATAGGATCAGCAGTAATTTCCCACCCTTTGGCCTTTAGACCAGTACCATTATGTAATCTTAACCCTGCTTCCACCCTATCCTAGGATTGTTTCTAATATAGATCCTCCATTATTTCAGCAAGCAGGTTTTATATTACTCCACCTACAGGTCTTCTCTGACTGCTTTTCATAGCGCTTAGTGTTTGTACATTTCTCCTGGTAGTCAATTTAAACTTTGTTTCTGCTCGATTTAATCCCATTGTCTCTCTGTCTCTCTCTGTCTCCTTGCACTATTTTCATTAGCGTGGTATTTTTTTGCAACATGCTCTGCAGGCTTTGTTCAAGTCGATGCATAGACAACTTCTCTCATCTATCCCCACACTCTCAAGTTCCTTACTCACCTCACTGTTCTGTCTGTAAACTTGGTTTATAGACCACCAGAAAGTTCACCAGGATTTACTGACCCTAGTCTGAGAACCAGTGTGAACGATAACACTTAGGAACTGACACATCCATGACAACTGATTTTAAAAAAAAAATCTCTCTAGTTCCATTAGCTTGGTACAAGGGGAAAGACGCATGACTCACCTTTAAGAACTGAGAATGTTTCCAGCATGTTCTTATCATGATCTATCCCATGCCACTCTATCCACAGTCCATCGGCATCTGTGGGGTGGAAGTAATCTAGCAAATTGCCTCCAGGATAGTAGAATCTCTTTCTTGGTGATTTCACTGTTGGGTTGAAGGGGAGGGAGAAAAATGTTGAGTAAATTCATTCCTATTCATGGTACAGTGTGTACTTTTGTCTTTAGGGCTATGGCTATGATAGGATATGATGTAGTATCCATAAGCTGCCATCGTTACAGTTTTACCAGCTGAGACTATTGTGTAAATGGTATTTACTAATGACATCTGACTTGCTCAAACTCGATCACAGCCTAGAATTTCACATATAGTTAAATGCAAGTTTGCCCCTTGATGCAGCTTGAATGTGTCTCGAATAAGCAGCAATGTAGCTAATAGTCTTTAGTAGAACACATGATTGTTAAGCTGAGTTGGGTCTCTGGAATGGAGCAAATCAAGCCCCATGTTGACCAAGTGGAGTACAGCTGTTTATCCTTCTAGCAGAAGGGGAGCCACTATATAAAAAGGGGACTACAAGTTGAGGGGTGGGGGAAGAGGAACAAAGAATCATTGCTCCTGAACTAAAAGGTTCAGCCCCAAATTCTGCCAATCCCATGTGTTGGAGAGAAGGAGCTGAGAACGGAAGTTGGCATCAATTTTTACCCTGACTGTGCTGGAGGAATGACCTGCAAATGGCAGAGGAGAAAATGGATTATTGTGTCTCTAATGCTTCCTTGTTTGTATGTATGTCATGGAAACCTTGAATTTATTTTTTAAATTCTTCTACTTATTTCTTTAGAAACATAGGCCTTCTCTACCTTGGAAGAACCTAGAAAACTAATGAAACCATGCATCACAAAGGTCTAGCTTAGGAGCTATTGGAAGTGGAAGAGAATTTTTTGCCCAGACTGTTTACAACTCTGGGAATTTGTTTTGGTCAACACCTACTTAACTTAATGGATGCTTGGGAGACCGGGGATGTGTCTAGACTACATGCCTCCGTCGACAGAACCATGTAAACTAGTTTACCCAACATAGTCAATGAAGTGGGGATTTAAATAATCCCCGTTTCATTAAAATAAAAATGGCCACCATGCTGTGCCAACAATCAGCTGATCTGGTGCAGCGCAGCAGTCTAGACGTGGCTCGGTCGACAAGGGAAGCCTTTGTCGACCACTCCTGTAAACCTCATTTCACGAGGTGTAAGGGATCGGTCGACAAAGGCTTCCCTTGTTGACTAGACTCATGTGCTGTTCCAGGTCAGCTGATTGTCGGCACAGTGTGGCAGCCATAGACTCATGTGCTGTTCCAAGTCAGCTGATTGTCGGCACAGCGTGGCAGCCATTTTAATTTTAATGAAGCGGGGATTATTTAAATCCCCGCTTCATTGACTATGTTGGGTAAACTAGTTTACATGGCTCTGTCGACGGAGGCATGTAGTCTAGCCATGCCCGGCTTGTCTGTTCTAGATTCAACTCTCTCTCTCCAGTTGGAGTCAATGAGTAGTCCTGTGGCACCTTCAAGACTAACAAATCTATGTATGGTATGAGTTTTAGTGGGCAAAACCCACTTCCTCAGCTGAGCCGACTGGAGTGTGAAAGTTCACAATACGCATCCTTTATAGCCTCCCACAAATCTTCCAGCAACACTACAGCCACCAGCCTTATGACAGCGTCCAGGTAAAACAAGTAGCAGAAGAAACCTTGAATTCTTTTGAGCTTCCTCTGTATCCAAAAAAAGGAAACCGAGCCCAGTCTGGGGTGGCTGACAGACGTTGCAGGCCCTGGCACCGTAGTGGGGAGGGGCCCTCAGATAGAAGGGGCAGGGCTGAGGCCTAGTCTCTCCCAGCCAGCCTTTCAGCACTGCTCAGCGTGAGACGCCCAGGGCTCTGGCAGTTGCCATTGTTGCTGTGGTAGCAGCAGCTTCCAGCCCCAGGCCCTTTAAAATCTTTGGGCCCGAGGGCAGCAGCTCCCTTTGCCCGGCCCTGTCAATCCCCTGCCTGGCACAGTCCCTTTCTCTAAGCCAAACCAGGTCCTACAGCCTGTGCCTACGTGTGCGCTTAGCACCCTCACTGCCTAGGTGCACATCAAAATACAGCCAAGACACTTTGTCTGCCCCTCTCTCGTTCTTTCAGTGGGCTCAAGTTAGCTGCAGGGCTTATGCCTCACCCCCATGGGTCTGAGCACCTTTGAAATAGGTGTAGCTGGAGGAGGGAGCCTGGCCTAGAAGACAGGGCCATGGGACTCAGGAGTCTTGGCTTCTGTTCCTAGCTCTGTCCCTGAGCTGCTGGGTCCCCTTACCCAGGTCACTGAGCCTCGGTTGCTTCTCCCACCTGTTGCCATGTCTATTCAGATAAGCTTTATTGGCGCGGTGACTCTCTCTCCTGCTATGTACAGCACCTAGCCTAGTGGGATCCCAATCTCATTTGGGGCCGTTTGGTGTTGCTGTCCTACACACATACATGCTGCTTCCTTGAACTGAGACAGAACCGGATCATAAATGTCATAATAGATTTGTTCAGCCTGGCTGTTATCCCGGATGAAGAGGAGATCTTCCACGGTGATGGGGTCCGTCTTCCCCTGCCACAGAGTCAGGCTGTACCTGCGGAGACGAGAGAGTGTTGAGTTGGTACGGGCTTCTCGCAGGCCTTCAGGCTGGCTGCTCAGTAGCTGGAGGAACCGTGGTCTTATTAGCCATGGCTACTTTGGTCCCTTTCCCATGGAAGTGTTCATGTCTGAAAACAAGGGGCGTTCTGTAGGGTGAGGGATCTGGGAAGGTGATACTGTCCTGCACCCTGAGCCATTCTCTGAATGAGAGACACTGGATAAGGGTTATTCACCTGCAACTGACTACAGAAAGGGTTCTGCAACAAGGGAATAGTTTGCACATAGAGGCCTGACTTGCACTGTGGACAAGGTGCTGGTCCCCAGTACTGTTCTCAAAGTCCGTGATCCTCAGTCGGGGCTATGTGGACCTATGGGGGTACTTGGAGATCTTCCGGGGTGGACACAGCTTCTTTAGATCAGTGTTTCTTGACATGGGGCTTGCAGCCCCAAGGGTGGTCATGGGACAGGTTGGGTGTGTGTGTCACAAACACAGGGCTGGCTGCAGGAAGTGGCAAGCAGGGCGATTGCTTCGGGACCCACACCATAGGATGTCCTCTTTCCCCCAAATTAAGTGACATGCTCCAGCCCCATATGCAAGGGCTCTGGCTTCAGATAGGGATCACAAGTGGGATAAAAGGGAAGGTCCTTACATGGATTGATAACTGGTTAAAAGACAGGAAAAAAAGGGTAGGAATAAATGGTAAGTTTTCAGAGTAGAGAGAAGTAACTAGTGGAGTCCCCCTAGAGTCTGTCCTGGGACCCATCCTATTCAACTTATTTATAAATGATCTAGACTAGAGAAAGAGGTAAACAGTGAGGTGGCAAAATTTGCAGATGATACCAAACTGCTCAAGATTATTAAGACAAAAGCAGACTGAAGAGCTTCAAAAAGAGCTTACCAAATTAAGGCTACGTCTACAGTGCGCCTCTCTTGTGCAAAAGCCTGTGCAAATAAAGTGTGGATTAGCATATTGCCATGCTTCATTTGCGTAATTCATTAGGGGCTGTTTTTGCACAAGAGGCTTTTGTGCAAGAGCTGTTCTTCCTGAAAAAAAGAGGAAGAACGGCTCTTGCGCAAGAGGGGGTTTTTGCGCAAAAGCCTCTTGTGCGAAAAGGCCCCTAATGAATTATGCAAATGAAGTGCGGCAATAGGCTAATCTGTGCTTCATTTGCATAGGTTTTTGCATAAGAGAGGTTCAGTGTAGACGTAGCCTAAGTGATTAGGTCCTGCCGTGAGATCAGGGGACGGGACTTGATGCCCTCTCACGGTCCCTTCCTGTTCTAGGAGTCTATGATGCCTGTGCGCACCCCTTTGTGTAGACGTAACCTTAGTCCCAAGCCAACCATGAGACGGGAACAGAAACAGGCCCGATCCCACCCCCTCAAATGTTCTCCTACACGGGGGAAGCCTGAATTGAAACAGCTCTGGCCGTGCCGTTTTCTTCACCCCTCCTGCCCAGCCCTAGTGGAAGTGGGAAACCAGAGCTCTACCCCAATCCTGCAAGCAGTGTTCCCTCTAATTTTCCCCATGCATGTGTGGAATAAAGTTGTTCTATGCACCGAGGCAGGTGCGGATGTGCACCACGAGGAGTCTCTCTCACATGCTGGTGGCTGTGGGCTGGTGGCTAATCACCCAGGTGGCATTTGAATGGGATGGGGATGATAGAGGTCTATAAAATCATGACTGGTATGGAAAAAGTGAATAAGGAAAAGTTATTTACTATTCCCACAGTACAAGAACTAGGGGTCACCAAATGAAATTAATAGGCAGCAGGTTTAAAACAAAGAAAAGGAAGTTTTTCTTCACTCAGCGCACAGTCAACCAGTGGAACTCCTTGCCCAAGGAGGTTGTGAAGGCTAGGACTTTAACAGGATTCAAAAAAGAGCTAGATAGATTCATGGAGGTTAGGTCCATCAATGGCTATTAGCCAGGATGGGTAGGAATGGTGTCCCTAGACTCTATTTCTCTGGAGGAGGGTGACAGGGGATGGAACACATGAGTATTACCTGTTGTGATCCCTCCCTCTGGGACATCTGGTATTGGCCACTGTTGGCAGACAGGATACTGGGCTGATGGACCTTTGGTTTGACCTAGTATGGTTGTTCTTATGTTTTTAAGTGAAAAACAGGCTCCTGTATTGCGCTGAGATGCAAGTAAATACTTATATTGCAATGGGGGGAAGTCAGCAATTGTTCAGTACCAGTGTGCTTTGTGACCCTTTTGTTTTTATACAGCTGATTTTGTTTACAGCAGTTTTTTAGGTAGGTGCTACTGGAATCCTCAAGACCAATCAGACTCCTGAAAGGGCTGCAGTTGAGTGGAAAAGCTGAGCACTGCTCTTTTAAGGACTAACGAACCTGTGCTGTGAATGCCTTACCTCTCTGACTGAGCCAGCAGCCAGCTGAAATGAGGCCAAGCCAATCTCACCATGACGGCCCTGACGGGGAACGTGACTCTTTGGGGCTGTGTCCTCACGATGCTGTGCATCTCTTGAATCATTTTCTGAGTGTAGGTTTTGTTGGGGAACCAAGATGAATAGAGAGTTGTCCAGCCCGGAGAGAGAGTGCAGTTTGGGTACTTCTCCTGAATGAGTGAGAGGAATCTAATGGAACCACATACAGAGCAACAGTTACTCCTAAGAGTGGCAAAGAAGAAAGCAGTTTCTGTGCATAACAACAACTCTATTAAACCTACAAACTTATGAGCAGCGCATCAAATGCCACTAGATGGCACTCTTTGTATATACAGAAGCCTTCCTGCACTTTTGGGACCTAGGTGGTGCCGGCTTATCGGATATGCCGGAGTACCAAGAGGTACTATAAGAGGGCATACTCCCAACCCATTCCCCCTCCTCTCCCCTCCCCTCCCCTGCTCTCCCCTTCCCCAGAGCCAAATACCTCCTGTCCCTGCTTTTCCCTGAACCTTATGTCTGGGTCCCAAGGCACTTGTTAGCAAGTGCTGGCTGGATGCTGTGTGCGCTGGGGACCATGAGTGGAACGGCGCGGGGCTGCGAATGCGCATGCGGCTCACAGTGGCCCGGCCGTGAGAGCGGCTGACCGGAGCACTTCCGGGTTCCAGTTGATGCTGGACTATTGGGGGTGCCGGACAACTGGATGCCGGACAATTGGAGTTTTACTGTACTTCTCTCTCTCTCACACATACTTTCACTTACTTTTCATAGACAACTCTCCCAACAATTCCAACAGCAAAAGCTTTATCACCTTTTGGGCAACAGCTAAGAGTGCTAGAAACTCATCACAGTGATACATGCTGACTGGGAACATTGCTGTAGACAGGTAGATATTACTGTAGCTCAAAGCTAATCCATTAGATCCTTGGCTTTCTCCTCATACAAAGTACAACTGGTCTCCCTATGGATGCATATGGGGCTCCACAATAGTGTTGGGTGAAAACACCTAGCTGGTGACAGAATTCTGAATAAAAAGATGAACTTTTAAATGGTAGAGCTATGGATAATTTTTAAAAAGGAAAAACCTCCAGTTCCTGCTTTGATTTCCACATATTTTGAGCAACATAGTAAAAGACTCGGTAATCTGGGAAAATTGTACAAAAATGTGTGGCCTAGGCAATGGTGAACTTCAGAAAGTTTGGACTTTGAGCTGAGCTATCCATTCCAACTAATTTAAAAAAAAAAGACTGAAGCATCATGAAATCTTGAGTTAAAATGTCAGAGCTTGTTTTAACAATTGTACAGAAAATAGATTTTTTTTCTTAAACTCTTTTGTGGGTTTTTCAAGTATGACTCCATTGATTTAGTTCCCAAAAACTGTGTAGGATTTTTTTTTCTGTAAGACAGGAAAAAGTTCAGAGCTGAATTTAAAAGTTCATTCTGTTGCTCTCACTGTAACTCACCTTCTGGTGATGATTGTTTCTTCCAATAGAGTCTGAACTAAATTTGGGATGGAAACCCAGATTTTCACTGTTAACTCTGTAACTTTGCAATTTTTTTATGGACTTAAAATGTAGCTTTTAATTGTTTTAATACAGTCCAAGAGCTCCCATCAGTAACAACGTGTGCACTTAGAAATTTGAACAGATCATTTTAAATCAACAGAGATCGAAAATCAGTTTCTCCTTTACTCACCTGCTAAGTTCGGTTCAGTTTCAGGTGCAGAGCTGGTTATAAAAGGATCCTGGGACAGTCAGTCCAGTAAGGGAGTCCAGCCCATAGGACAGAATGTAGTGTGGGGAAAATACCGTCAAGTTAAAACTCCCATAGAGCATTACGGTGGTGTCTGCTCAGAATTTGTTGATTTTCAAGTGTGAAGGGTTGGGAAGTTTTTTTATTAAAAAAAAAAAAACAATTTTCGATGGAAAGCTGAGACTTTTGCCAGGAAATTTTTTAATTTTAAAAACACAATTTTCTGTCAGTTTTAGTGGAAATTTTTTGAGTAGCCCTGGTTTATCGGTGTTATCAGGCGTTATGGGGTAATCGAGGATTATGAAACTCAAGGCTCCATCAGGCATTTGGAGGAGGGACGGATATTTGGAATCTGCATATATTCTCTGGGTGCTTGATTTCAAAGCTTATCATTTCCAGCCACTGGATCAGGGCCTTAGTGACCTGGGATCTTAAATAGCTGGTTTTCTTGTTGGTTTTTATTACATATACTTTTTTTTTTGTCCACCTTTTGTCAGCTCTTGGCTGAACTCCAGTCTTGGCACTTTCTGGGCTCACTGATTTCTTGCTGCACTAGAGGATTGTGACGGGAGGGCTATTGCTAGTGTAGAACCAAGGACTTTGTTCCAAAGCTATGAAATTGATCAGTACATTCTGAGACACCAATCACTGAAAGGTACAACATTAGCCACCAAAGCGCTTTTAAGAAAAATTCAGATTACTCACAAACTTGCGTTAACTGCAGTGTTGATGGGGACATTGGGACCCATTAGAATATCTGCGTTTAACCACAGAGGCCTGTTGATCTTCACTTCTGAGGATTTCTTTAGTAAAATATCCAGAGATGGGCCAACTGCCTTGATGCTTTTGAAATCTAGCTTGATACCTGTCCAGGAAAGAATTCATTGGAAAACCACATAAATATCTGATATTAGCAGCTGGTAAACTATACCCGAGTATAAATTGGAGTCCTGTTTGTGCCACACCTGACATAGCAGGCTCCCAGTCCAAGACTAGGGATCGTTGGCATTATGGTAAGGTAGGGTGTTGCCTAGTGCTTGTCCCCAGCTCTGCCTCATCATTCCCTGCCAAATGGGAGGTGAAGAGGATGCTGCTGAATTCCACATGTACATAGACCACTCAGTCAGGGCAAAGGGTTCCCGTCACTTGTTTACAGGCACAGCACTTTAGATTACCTCTGCTGGATGAGTTCAGGACAGTGTCCAGCCATTCCTGAAAAGAGTTGTCACTGTAAATAGCAGGGGGATGTGCCATGATGGGCTTGTCGGTCTCATTAGGAGTGTTAAGTCCTTCTAGGTTGACATCAGCTTCCAGGACCATCATGCCACCTGTGTGCGCAAGTCACAAAGTGAGCCCTTGACTGGCGTTGACGTGTGCAAAGGACCCTCCACACTTGTTCATGTCTTCACCACGCATGCAGGCAGCTCCCTATGGGCTCAGGCCTGCACAGGGCTGAGCTACCACCAGGTCTTTCTGCATGTGCGTCGTCACACCAACCAAAGTAGCTGGATTATCCAGGTGCTTGAGTTAAGCCTGTGTTTAAGTGCCCCTCTGCTCAGCTCTTGAAGGCTCAAGCCCTGTGTCTCTCACAGACACAGATGCCATGTTTCCTGCATCTCTATATGCTAGACCAAGGTGCCCCAGTGTCTTTCTCTAAGAGTGACAGTCACCTCCAAGGCACCAGGGTCTTCACCAAGAGTTCCAGGCTAATAGTTCTTGCTCGGATCATAATATGGCCCTATAGTTCATTAAACGATTAGAGAGGCAATAACAAAGGGTCTGATCCAATGCCCCGGAAAGTTAACGAGTCTTTTCATTAATTTAAATAGCCTTTGGATCAGGACCCAGATCTGCCCAACAGGTGGGTTCTTCTGAGCCTGGTGCTACCCCTGCTTCCTGGGTTGGGCTATTACTGAGATCCCTCTCTTCCTGCAGTAACTAGTCCCTGGCCTTCCAGGGAAGTGACACCAGACTGGAATGTTCCTGGTTTTCTTTCAGGAATGACTTGAACCCACAGCCCTTCCCTCCCCATTCAAGTGCCCTTGCCCCATGGCCACTACAGAACCCACCCCACCTCCCTACCTTCAGTGAGTCCCTTATCCTGCTGCTTTCCGAATGTGGAAGCCAGCTCCCTCCCTGGGGCAGCTGGTGTTGGCTGCCCGGATGGGTGGAGGGAGGTGGGACTGAGTCACCACCCTGTGCTCCAGAAGCTGTAGCCCCATCCCTGAATTCACTGGGGATCCCACCAACCTCCAAAGTTGTACAGACCTGAGTTGGCAGATAAACCTCTACATTGTGAGGCTACGTCTACACTGCAGGCTTCTTGCGCAAGAACTGTTTTGCACAAGTGTTCTTGTGCAAAAGGTCTTGCACAAGAGCGCGTCCACACTGCCATGTGTTTTTGCGCAAGAGATGTGCTTTTGCGCAAGAGGGGTCTTGGCAGTGTGGACACTCTCTTGCGCAAGAAAACTCTGATGGCCATAGGGGTTTCTTGCGCAAGAAATTCATGTTGCCTGTCTACACTGCCTTCTTGTGGAACAGCTCTGGCTCAAGAGGGCGTATTCCTCGTGGGGAGAGGAATAACTCTTCCAGAAGAAGCCCTGTTTTCCAATGCTGTGTTGTAAATTTACTTGCCCAAGAACATGCGTGCAATGTAGTCACCCAGCAAGTTTTTGCGCAAGAACAGCTGTTCTTGCGCAAAAAGCCTGCAGTGTAGATGTAGCCTGATTGTATCTTGTCAGGTCAGAAAAAGCTGGGGACGTTTTTTTGAGGGGGGGTTACTGTCATGTTACCACCACAAGATAAAACTGCTTCCAGTGAATGTGTCCCAAAACATTTGACTTTTACAGAGTAGTTTTATCTCAGGAAGCTATAAGCAAGCCCTGATTCTTATGGCTTCAGGTGAGCCTCCGTTCCACATTAGAGTCTTTTGCTTGAGTCCATGTGCAGAATGATTTCCTCAGCTGAAGATTTAAGCAGTGAGACCTCTCTTCTTTATTAAGTATTACCCCTGTTTTGATTTATTTAGTTTTATCTTAAATCTGGGATAATCTACTCACAATTGTCTTCTGGGCAGGAAATATCTTTTGGGCCCCGATCCGATAAATGGAATCATTTCAGTAACTTTACAAATGCTCAGTTGCCACGCTCTAATTGCTCTAATCATTCCCAACATCTAGTATGCTCTGTGTTTGCCTGGGCTCCTCATACGGCGCTCTGGTAGCCAACTCTCCTGGCTGAAATCCTGGCCCCACTCATGTCAACCCAGAGGTTTGCTACGGCCATCAGTGGAACCAGGATTTGAGCCTGTGGCTTTCCGATATCATGCTATTAGAAACATAAAGGACAGAGACATTTGCCTGACTGGGTGAAACCACTAACACATGGAAGGAAAACTCCCACTACATATGTACTCCATGGTTCAGTGCTGTACCTAGTGCGGAAGGGGTAGTGGAGGGGAGAGGCGAGGGGAGGAGACGGAATTGCTTTCTGCATCTTGTGCAGATGATCTGATTACACCCAGAAGAGTGAGAACAAACTCCACTTGGGTAGCTAGGCAAACTAAGCTAACAGGCTATTACAAATGGGCGGTGGGGTGGGGGAGAGAAAATGATATTTTACTCTTCAAGGCATCTTCCAGTTCACTCTTTTGGTTAGCAGAATGGTACCAGGTGACCAGCAATCCATCCTTTCTGTCAATGCGCCCCAGATTTAGCAGGTATTCCAGCAGGTCTCCGTCTGTATCGAAGGCTGGTTTGAGTACAGAGTCTGAAATCCCAAGGAAGATTTGTAATGAGTAACTTTGGAAGGCAGATGTAAAACTAATGCAAGCAACACTTGCGGGTTTTGAAGAGTGAGGTACAGGTGTGGAGGGAAGTACTCAGAAGACTGCCTGACTGCTCCCAAGCATTTATGTCCAGAATAGAAGAAACCGGCTGTGTATCATTTTGCTGCCCTGTCATTTTGCTGATTTCCATAGAATGCTGGAGCACAGCTGGGGCAAGGAAAGGGTTAATACCCTTTTTTTTCTGGCTAAGACACAATGGTGTCCGTGCCAAGAGTGACTGTAAGTTGTGAGGAACTAGCCTGGGAACCATTGTGTTAGCACCTGCAATAAGAACTAGGAAAGCGTCTCACAAGAAACTCACATGACACATGCTGGTAAGATGACAGGGCGGTGCCAGAGCCCCCAGGGTTACTTGCAATATGTATTTTTGATCTCCATATGCATACTGATCCCTACATGTGTGGTGGTTACAATCTATCAATTAAGCTTCCTTGCTCTGTATGTCCCTCCAGGTCTCAATATGAGGTTGGTAACAGATAGTTACAACCCAGGCAAACAAACAAAATACACATCTCCCCTTCAGACTGACTACTTGTATATTAAGTTTAGCTCAATGCAGCATCATAGAATCATAGAGCTGGAAGAGACCTCTGGAGGTCATCAAGTCCGGCCCAAAGTCCAGCGTCAAAGGACAGCTAGACCCCCCCTTGAACATCGCTGAAGTGTTACTTCTGGGGAAGCTCGCCTTGCTGCACACAGACACCCTGTACACCACTCGATATAACGAACGGAACCTAGTCCTCCAGAACGGTGAGCAACACTCTTCCTGACCCACAAAGGCGCATGGACACGCAAAACCATCACACCTATCACCCCTCAGCGGCTTCACTGCTCTCTCACACACACAAGTACAGGCTGACGTACCTTTATCGCACTGCTGGTGCCCATCCCGCTAGCTTCTGCTCCTCCCCACCCCCCACCCCATGCAAACAATTTAGCACTGGTCACTTGCCCCAAATGCACCTCCTGGACCCAAACAGACAAAATCTAAGGTCAAGA